GATACGTTTTAGATTTCACTGCACTCATTTTCCACTATTTAATAATAAACTTTGTATCGACGTAGTATCGCCATCAAGTTACAATTCAGAATGACTCCAATTCCTGCAGGCACAACATTTATATCGGCGTGAACGAAAGTCTCGAATGTTCCCGTCAAACGCGCCGCCCGAAACTAGACTGTACTGTCTCTCGTTGTTTCTAGACTAGACTGTACTGTCTACTAGTCTAGAAACAACGCGGCTTTTCTTTGACAAGTGCCGCGCGTTCCTTTGATAAAGCCACCTTTTGCCGCAAGCAGTGTTATTTTATTACGTAATACATTTTTGTAGTTTAGTTACCTACCTACTTATTAAAAATTTTTTTCTTCTCGAGATCTACTCAAAAAGCACTCGCGATCGACTGGTCGATCGCGATCGACCGTTTGAGCACCCCTGGTCTATCAGTTTGTAACAAACAAATTGATATGGACGCGAAGAAGGTGATGGACTTTGGAACTCGTGGGAGACAAAAGTGCAGAAAGGTTAAAAGGCGGTGGACAGGAGGATTCCATTGGGAGACTGCGAACAAACCACCTCGAACGTAGCTTTTTCAACTTGGCTTGTGAAGAATCATCCTATGAGAAAAAAATCAGGAAAACGGCATTCATCGTGTGAGTTTTTTCCTATTCCATATTTCCATCATTTTATTCCTTGGGGATTGCGCATACGTAAATATGAATTCATTTATTTTAAACAATAGGTTAAATACTTCGTAATTATATTTTAAGTTTTTTTTTAATATTGTTTCAAGAAGAATTGATTTTATTTTTTTGTAAAAATTTAAGTTTGAAGATTCAATTTAAAAGAAAGAAGAGTGTAAATATAATTTTAGAAAAGAAATAATTGGATTGAATAAATTCTGTTATCCTTACAGTGCCTTTTATTTTTAAATTTTTCCTTTTATTAAAATAATGGTAATAGTAAAAAAATTACAATTATTATTGTAATTGTTAAAATAGTATTTTAACTTTTTCATAAAAAAGACCCTAAAAGTCTAACAAGTTACATATCTATCAAATCCGACATAGGACCACCTTATTATACTCCCCCAGTCTAATTAGGAATTTATTTTGTACGATTTTAATTAGTACTTCGTTTGTCTTCTCCAACTTTGACAAATTTGCAAAACTTATTTTTAAAAATATGGGTAACTTCCATGGTGTCACTTTGGTAATATCTTTAGCAGTTCTTATTGAATTTAGAAAATGATAGTGTGATAAGAGAAAGAAAGGAAGAAAGAGAGAGAGAGAGAGAGAGAGAGAGAGAGAGAGAGAGAGTCGTAATTGTGTTTTATTTCAGGTAGTTTGTTATTTTTTATGATCATGCGTCTGATATTCTATTAATGTGACTTTTCTCATTCAATTTGTTATGTTTTTACGCCGAGGTGAGATTTTA